AGCGAAGAATCTGAAATATGGACAAAGGGAACCCGATCACAGATTTTCCAGTGCCCAGCCAATTGTCATACCAAAAGGATGATTCTCCATTGCCCAATAGTGCCCAAAGCCATTCACAATGTTATTCTTTGCTCTAATGATGCTCTTCCATATGTAGGAGTCGCCTTGCTTATAGTCACATGCTAAAATAAAATTGTTATGCAAATATTTTTCTCAAAGAGCTTTGACCCACATTTTCCCATTGTCGTGTAGAAGATTATCCACCAACTTACCAAGCAATGCTACATTATTGAGGTGTGTGGTGCGCACACCCAGTCCCCCATCCGTTTTAGAGCAGCTCACCTCCCTCCATGAAAATAGGTTCCAGCCTTGAAAGTGGCCACCTTTAGCCCATATGCAACTCCGTATCCTCTTGTCTATGTAGTCACAAATAGACTCAGGAAGTCATAGAGACTGCATAGCATAGACTAGAAGTAACGAAAGAACAAATTTAGCTAAACACAATCTGCCCGCTTTATTAAGAAGTATGTGTTTCCAAGAAGCCAGCCTACTATTTACTTTATCAATTATGGGGGTAAATTTATCCCTGGTGACTCTACCTTTTAGGAGGGGTAGCCCAAGGTAGTTACCCAAATCGCTAGCCCTGCTAATGCCTATGATATCAGAAAGCTCTTGTTGAGTAAGGGGATCAATATTATTAGAGAAATACATCCTTGATTTCTCTAACTTTACGTTCATGCCAGACACCTCACAGAAAGCATTCAGGGTTTTTTCTATTAATTGCATTTGTGTCTTATTCGCTTTGCAAAATAGTAAAACATCATCCGCAAAAAAAAGAGATGTGAAATGCCAATACCCTCTTTTGTAATTCTGAGTGGTTGCCAAGAGCCCTCATTTACTTGCCTTTGGATTTTGATTGCAAGACGCTCCATACAAAGAACAAAAAGATAAGGTGAGAGGGGACCACCTTGACGAAGCCCTCTTTGTGGAGTGAAGGGTGAGAGTTTGGAGCCATTCCAAAGGACAGAAAGACTAGCATCTTGAACTCCCCACATGATCAAGCTCAGTGTAGCGGGGGGTAAACCAAAGTCACACAGTGTAGAGCGCAGAAAATCTCAGCTAATCCTGTCATAAGCCTTTTCAAGATCGATCTTCAAGGCCACCAGCCCCTCACCCTTCCTATGCGTATGAATTGTGTGCATTACCTCTTAGGCAAGAATAATATTATCCTTTGTGCCTCTGCCAGGGATGAAACTTGCTTGCAAAGGTCCCACGAGATCCACCAAGAGTGGTCGAAATCTGTTCACTAACACTTTGGTTATCACTTTATATGCCACATTGCAAAGGCTTATTGGTCATAGATCCTTAAATCGAAGGGGATCCTCGACTTTAGGAATAGGGACAATTAAAGTCTCAAGGAGATTGGAATCGGCTTTTCCTACACGAAAGGCCTCTGCAACCATATTATGAAGATCATGAAACAAGATATGCCAATATCGCCTGAAGAAGAACACTTGAAATTCATCGGCACCAGGGGCTTTGAAGGAGTGCATAGACATAATAGCACACCGGACTTCATTCATGGAAACTGGATGGAGGAGTTTAGTTCTGTCCACCTCTGACATGGTTGGCATTGTGTTCTCCAGAATATGGTTCCTGCTAACCTGTGCATTAACAGAAAAAAGGTTAGTAAAATATAGTTGTGCCTCCTCCTTCAGGACCTCCATATCAGTGCACCAAATATTTTCTCCCACAAACATGCCATGAATTTTATTCCTTTTCCTCCTGATAAGTGTTTGAGTGTGGAAGAATTTAGTGTTGTGGTCACCAAATTTGACTCAGTTCTCCCGAGATTTCTGGTACCACATCAACTCCTCCTGCATCAGGATGTGCTCATACTCCTCTCTTAATGACCCCTCTAATCAAAGTGTTGAATCTGTCTCTCTCCACTCAAACTCTCTTTGGACACCTTTCAGTCTTTGCTCAACTCGCTTTTTCCGCTTGTGGATATTTCCAAATATTTCCTTATTGAATTTAAGAGACACATCTTTCACCATGCTCAACTTGTCAATCAAAGAACTAGGAGGCTTTACCCAGGTACGTTGCATTAAAGGTTCAAAGGATGGATGTGTCGCCCAAGCTGCATGGAATCAAAATGGGCGAGCTCTATGGTCCTGTGTTTGAACATGGCATCTAAGTAACAGTGGGCAATGATCTGAGTACACTCGGGACAGATTTTCTACAAAGGCTTCTGGGAAAAAGTGCCTCCAAGCAACATCCCCCAGGGCTCTGTCAAGTCGTTTGGCAGTAGTTCGTGTTCCATTTGTTCTCCGTTCCCATGTAAATCTACTGCCTAAGGCGCCTAGGTCTATGAAGTCACACACATCAATCATATCTAACATTTTCCCCGCTCGTGTACCATTAAAATCCCCTCTTACAACCTCAGAAGAAGAGCATATCTCATTCAAGTCGCCAATAGTCATCTACGGGTCCAAGATGTGCTGACGGAGGTTACTTAGATGGGCCCAAAGTTCTTCCCTTCTAGTTGGATTCGGGCTCGCGTAAACATCAGAATAAACCCATTTGTAGTTACCTCGGCAAATCTCAACTGTCACAACTTGAGTGTGAATATCAATAATCCTGACTTTGAAGTGCTTGTATGAAGGAACCAAGATCCAACTTCCACCACTATGACCAATTGCTTCAGAAGCACAACATAATTCATAACCCACCCTTTTCCAGAATGAAGCTACTCCATCAAATTTACAATGAGTTTCAAAAACATCAAAAATAGAAGGTTGAAAAGTCCTGATTAGGTCCCTCACCCTTCTCTGACCACGAGCACCTGCGTCACCACGAATATTCCACGCAATGATATTTAATTGTGTACCATCCATAAAACAGGTCGGAGGTAGGTTCACCATGTAACAAGGTCAGCACCTCCCATGGTGGGTGGGGGTGCTGCCATTATCTTCCCCTGGATCGAAGATAGTACTACTTGAGACAAGAGCATTCACCCCTGGTTTCAAGCCCTGTTGTATCTGTCCATCTTCCAGAAGAGCAAATCTGTTTCCCTCCCTGTAAACTAGATCCTTCTCACGTGTACCAGTGGTGGGAGGGTAAGGATTAGTTAATGGTGGGGCACCTACCCGAATGCTTGTTGATCGGTCGGTTTCACCATATTTGGAGGGTTCATGAGGAATACGTTTATTGGTTTTTCTTGATGTTCTGGACTCAATGTTATTGAGTTTCAAATGTTCTCCTGTGGTAAATTGCATACTTCCATTCATTGCAGTTCCCACCGGTTTTAAGAAGGTATTTATAGCCTTGACATCATTCCCCTTCTTCACCGCCTGGGCAGCAACCATGCTACCTTTCTTATTGTCTTTAGCTTTTCCCACGGATTGAGTTGAATTAGAGTGTGCATAAAGTTGCTTTGTTGATTTCAAATTCTTTCTTCGTTTGTCCACTACCAGCCATTCTCCATGCGTTGTGTTAGAACAACCATTTATCAAGTTCTCAGGCTTGTTAGTTTTATTTTCCTTCACAAGTTTAGTCCCTTGCTCATTGACCACTACTCCAGCTTCAGGGGCCTCTGGATTTAATTGGGTTGGTATAGCAGCACTTTCTACATTTATGCTTTTGGGATCACTTACTTGTGACTGAGTAGTCTCAATAGTAGCTACACAGTTGCGGGTTAGGTGGACATAGCATCAGCACTTCGAACATAAGAGATGGAGGCCCTCATATTTGACGTTGTACCATATGTTTGCTTCAGGCCTACATGATGAGATGTTTCCTTAAAAGCCAACATACGTAGGGAGTGTTTGCATCTGTTTCTGCAATTCTGCTTAAAAAGAAGCTCTTTTGGAGTGATTTGGAAAAATTGATTAGTAGTAAAAGTTGATAGTGTTTGAGAAAAAAGTGATTTTGAAAAGTAAAAGTTGGTACTGTTTGGTAAAATAAGTGCTTTTTGTGTAATAGAAAAGGGAAAAACACTTTTCACACGCAAGCCGGGAAAAAGTAAAAATTGATAGTGTTTGGTAAATAAGTATTTTTAAGCCAAAAGTCGGGAAGTGCTTTTTTTAAGCTGTTGCAAACACTCCCGTAGTATAAGGCAAAAGAACGAGATTTATAAGGGGTTTCTTAGAACACACAATATTTAAATAAAATTTAAATAATATGTGGGGACATCACTTCAATAACCATTTACTAGAGACTTAATAATTAAAGAAAAAATGTCACTTATGATCCTTCGAGTTTTGCACCAATTCCACAATTAGTTCTCGTCTTTGACTTTATCCATTTTTGGTACCTGACTATTGTTTTCTTGACCATATATAGTCCTTTTCCGGTAGTAAAAATGCCCAGAGATGGACCGAAAATGGTCAAGAAAACAATAGGCAGGTATCAAAAATGGATAAAGTGAAAGACGGGGACTAAATATGAAAATGACACAAAACTTGGAGGACATATAGTGAAATTAATTCATAATTAAATGATACTTGAGTTTGGTGCAATTTAAGTAAGTAAGTAATATCGAGTCACATGTCCGATAAGTAAGTAAGGGTCTGTTTGCAACAACTTCTACTTTAAAAAAAGTGCTTTTTAATGAAATGGGGAGAAGTGATTAAATAAAAGTTGATAGTGTTTGAGAAAAAATGATTTTGAAAAGTAAAAGTTGGTAGTGTTTGGTAAAATAAGTGTTTTTTGTGTAATAGAAAAAGTAAAAGCACTTTTGACACGAAAGTCGAGAAAAATAAAAGTTGGTAATGTTTGATAAAATAAGTGTTTTTTAAGCCAAAAGATAAAAAGTGTTTTTTTAAGCATTTGCAAATCAACCCTAAATAATTCCAAACCAACTTAGGGTCTGTTTGCAATAGCTTCTGCTTTTAAAAAAGTGCTTTTTTTAATGAAATGAGGAGAAGTGATTAAATAAAAGTTGATAGTGTTTGAGAAAAAAGTGATTTTGAAAAGTAAAAGTGGGTAGTGTTTGGTAAAATAAGTGCTTTTTGTGTAATAGAAAAAGTAAAAGCACTTTTGACGCGGAAGCCGAGAAAAATAAAAGTTGTAGTGTTTGGGAAAATAAGTGCTTTTTTAAAGCCAAAAGCTGAGAAGTGCTTTTTTAAAAGCAGTTGCAAACCAACCCTTAGCCGGATTGAGTTCTGGACCTGATCAGTCCATGGTACTGCACCTGGCCCAATATCTAAACAATATCCCTAAAGATTTCGTTGTTCAGCCCATAAAGCCCACTATCGAACCACTGTAATTTCATCGCCTCGTAGCTGAAACCCTAGGGAGGCTTGTTGCTGCGGACTGAAGGGTTCGGTGAAGAGGTCCCATTTGCTGCAGACAGAAGATTGGCGAAAAAGTCCAATGGGGAGGAGTAAGATTCAATATCATTATTCGATTTTATAGTTTACTAATAAATTATGGGAAATTTGTGATTTTTTCTTACTCTTCATGATGGGTTCCGACTTGTCATTGCTTAATACTCTTGTTTGTGAATCCGGACCAATAAAAATGATGGCTTTGGATGTTAACCGCATTCAGCTATATTGCTCGTAGTATATTTGCATATACTAATGAACAATGTGAAAGTTTAGATAGCTCTGTTTATGGCAATTGGCAAAACCATTATGATGAATTTTTTTGTGCAAACTGTTATCAGGGCCAGCAAGGTGTTACCGCCAGATTAAGAACAAGCCATACCCAAAGTCAAGGTATTGCCGTGGTGTGCCTGACCCAAAGATTAGGATCTATGATGTTGGAATGAAGAAAAAGGGAGTTGATGAGTTCCCCTTCTGCGTGCATTTGGTTAGCTGGGAGAAGGAGAATGTCTCGAGTGAGGCCCTTGAAGCGGCCCGAATTGCTTGCAACAAGTATATGACCAAGTTTGCAGGAAAGGATGCCTTCCATCTTAGGGTTAGGGTTCACCCTTTCCATGTCCTTCGTATTAACAAGATGTTGTCGTGTGCTGGGGCTGATAGGCTCCAAACAGGAATGAGGGGGGCATTTGGCAAGCCACAGGGTGTCTGTGCTCGTGTTGCCATTGGACAGGTTCTTTTGTCCGTTCGCTGCAAGGATTCTAACAGTCAAAATGCACAGGAGGCATTGCGTCGTGCCAAGTTTAAATTCCCTGGTCGCCAAAAGATCATTGTTAGCAGGAAATGGTAATTCTTCTTCCATTTTACCTGTTTAATATAATATTGATTGATTGATTGATTGATTGATCACTTCAAATCCATGATAACACTATAATAGCCTGGCTGGCTGGCCGGCTGTCAAAGCTTGTGTTTTTGTCCCAACCGAAAGTCTCCTCTGATCAAACAAACCTATTTCAACCGTTTCCAAAAAATGAACCTAGGACAATTTATATATGGTGAATTATGTTAGACCACAAAATCGCTAAGAACACATGTAAGCCCTCATGCTTTTTGACGTGGTATCTTACTGAAATGTAAAAGACGTAACTAGTCCAAATGTCTTTTCTTTGGGGGTGAATGTGTGGTGTCAGGGTGAAAACATTCTTAGAAGAAGTGTGAAGTGTCATAATGTCTTGTAAGACACAATTCTTTGAACTACATACTACATCTAAATTTACCTGTAGAGATCTCTATTAGTATTGGAGTGAAGTTTTCTCAATCTAGAATCAATTTTGATAATTAGATATTGAAGATTCTATTCACTTATTCTTTTTCCTATCTTACTTTTAAGGGGTTTTACAAAGTTCAATCGTACTGATTATCTAAACTACAAGAAGGAAGGCCGCATTGTGTCTGATGGTGTCAATGCTAAGGTTTAAGCCTATTCCTTCATTGTACTTAAAGTAACTGTTTCATTCAACTTTCTTGTTAATGAGATATCTGATATATGCAACGGCTTTGAATTTCTTTTCTGTGTTTTTCTAGCTTTTGGGGTGTCATGGACCTCTTGCAAAACGCCCACCTGGGAGAGCATTTATTGACGCAGCAGCTTAAAGTTTATGTTTTGTCTCACAAGCCTCTTGATCAGTCTCACAAGCCTCTTGATGCGTTTGCAAATTTCAATGGTCGTGTTCTTTCCTTTTGCTTTGTCTATTATCTTCCTTTGATGTTGGAATATATATGCTGGGCAATTTACGTTCTAAACGTAATCATTATTTTACTAGTTTTGGATATTTGTTAAAAGAGTTGTTACGTTCAACCTTATTTCCGTTGCTTACCACTTATTCATATTTTGAGCCTGTTTGTTAATATTGAAATCGGCTAATTGTGTTGAAATTTATAAAGTTCTAGTTTAAGTGGTTGTATTTGCTGATTCTGTTTATTTATGAAAAAGTTAAATTTAAAATATATTTTGTTAATAAAATCAAAAATATATATGTAAAAAAAGCTAAAATGGTCCTCTATAATAACTTTAGTCGAATTAGCTAGAAAAGTACTTTTAATCTTACTTTTTTCTTATTATTACACATTTTAGCGCGAGAAATCAAAAGTAATGTGTTTGGTGAAAAAGATTGTTGAAAAGCCTAAGAAGCCGAATAACAGTGTTCCAACGGGTTCTTTATTTAGAGGAATCAGTAAATCCTAATATTAGGTTGGAGACAAATGTACCAAAATGAGAGTAGTCATCATTTTTGACGATGAAATGTTAGTGAAACTCTCCAATAGTGCTGGACTCGGGCCGGGTGGCCCGACCCGAGACCGGTACTGTGCTGAACCGGCTTGGCCCGGTGGCCCGGCCAGTGACCGGTCCGGGTAGGCCCGGCCCGGGGGGTTCCCGGTGCGGGCTCGGGTCACCCAAAAGCCGAACCGGCCCGGCCGGTTCGGGCCCGGTTCTGGGCTTTTTATTTTTATTTTCAATTTTTTTTAACTTTTCGGGTTGGGCTGGGTATTTTGGGTCATTTGGGGTGGTTTGGGGGGTTGGGGGTGGGGGGGATTAATTAGGAAAAGGAAAAATAATAATAATTGACCCGAGGCCCGGACCGGACCCGGTGGCTACCTGGGCCGGCCCCGGGCCCACCCATTCAGAATCGGCAGCCTGCCCAGGCCTAGGTCTGGCCCGGACCCGACCCGGCCCGAGTCCAGGACTACTCTCCAATATGAAAGAAAATGGAACGAGTAGTCTCTAATTTCATGATATGATTTAGTCTAGTTTGTTTTATTTATGTTTGGTTTGAATTAGTCAGATTTGGTTGATGTTTGTTCTAAGGATGGCAATTAGGGTGGGAACCTACCCCATGGAGAAGTGTGGTGGGTATTGGGATGGGGTGGGGGCAGAATGTGATTATCCCATAGTATGATGATGAGGTAGTTGTAGTAGTAATCCACCTAACCTCCCCTCATGTTTTAGATATCTTGTAAACAGATACTACGCTTAACATAAAAAGAATTAAACTAAAAACATAACGGTTAGGAAAGCAGAACATAAGGCTTCCAACTATCACAATAGCGGGATAAATACAACAAAATAAATAAATATGTTGCTGTTGAAATATAATTGAATTAGTCATCTTCCAACTATTCATGATTAGGAATTATTATCATTGTTATATAAATGTGTGACTCACAATGATATCATAATTTCATTGAGCTCACACTTTCTCCTATAAGGCTGTAAGTATGAATCTTCTCACCGTAACTAACACACCATTATCACACATCTAATATAATCTCTCCCTTTATACTCCATATAATCTCTCCCTAATCTCTGTTTATTTTCTTCCATTTTATAACAGTTGCCCTTTTTTGGCTCCTTACATCTAATGATTTATACGGGAGCTCTTAAGTTGTAATCAAAGAAATGATGATGAAATGAGCATATATCTAATGATTAAAAGTAAACAATTACTGTATTGGGAAATTTGGAGACCCACAACTCCGCAAGGCCATAATAGTGCTAGGAAATTTTGAAGAGCGACAATAGTGTGAGCTTAACTTCAAGAAACACAATTCATTTACGTATACTTAGTACTTACCTATAGTTAAATCTTAAACCAAGGATAAACAACAATTTAATAGAAGACAACTAATTCATTACACAGCAAATCTTAAGCATAATTTACCTATACAACCAATCATAATATTTTCTTCTGATCTACTTTCGTATGATGAGCAAGAAGAAAGATTCAGATTAACAAATTTACAAAAATCACAGATGTATTCATCTCATCTCCTATTGTAAAGTTTCTTTAAACTTTTAAGTTAACACAAGAAAAATCTATACTTGAAGTAGAACTTTATAAAGGCTGAATTAAAAAGCAATTCATAGATTGGTTTAAAAAGCCATTTTTAATTCATAGATTTATTTAAAAGGTCCTTTTTTCATAACGGCTGGTTTTCCTAGCCTCCATGGCCTACTCGACAGTCGACAGTCGACACTTCCTCTTTATTCTACGAGAATCGTGGGAAATAAAAAAGAAGGCTTTTTGCCAAGTACCTTGTGGTCTGATGGCATCACTGCTGATCTTCCAAAGAGGAGGTCGCAGGTTCGAGTCTCATCCCAATCAAGGATGTTGGCATTAACTAGAGCAGATAATATAATAGGTTTAGAAGAATGTCCCAAAAAAGGCTTTTTAAATTCTTACGGAGTATTTAAGTTCCTTGATTTCCTAAATGAATTTATATGGGAACTCGTAAGTATCAAGTGTTTTAGGGTATGTTTGGCACAATCAGCTGAAAAGATACTTTTGTGAGCTTTTTAATAACTGTTATCTTTTAGTAACTGAAAAGATCTTAAAAAGAAAAGGTGGTAGCTATTTGCTAAGAAGCTGACTGTTTGATTTAGTTCGATTTGGTATACAAGCTGTTAGGCCTAATTAATACTAAAAGTCACAGGCCTTTTTCAGATGCTACTGCCTGTAGCATCTCAAGAAAGATCTTTTAATTTTTGAAAAGCTCTTATAAATTGTCATACCAAACATATAACTAGAAGCTTTTAGAGACTTTTTGAACAGTACAAAAGCTAGAAGTCATAGACTTATGCCTGCCAAACATAGCCTAAGACTACTTGATTGCTAAAGAAAATTTTATGTAGAATTCCTGATGCGAATGGGTTATATCATCTGAGACATAGAGTTAGAACGACATACAACATACGTTTGCAATGTACTTTGTGAGCTTACTCATTAATCATTATAATATTTTTATAAGGTACTAATGAATAATTAGTAAGGTACATCAAATATGAGTTTTTTATTTATAAAAAAGACACATCAAATATGAGTAGGAATGTTATATGACATATGACATATGAGTTGATCGTGATATTTTGACAATTAGCTGGGTTTTACCACATTATTTTTGCCAAAATAAGCAATGTCAAAATATTGTATACATTGCCAAAGGAAAATGTCGATAAAATGTGACAATGTCAAAAATATTACAATGTCAAACATGCATTGCACATTAAGCAATTCACAATTAATGTATTCTTTAAAATGATAAAGTACGATAGAGTATAATCCAAAAGAATATATTAATTGTGAATGACATTATGTACCAACATATGTTTGACATTGTAATATTTTTGACATTGTCACATTTTAGTGTAAATTGCTACTATCCAAACGGAGCATATGTTTTAGTCTTATGAAGGGTGTTTGGTTAATGACCTATATCATCCATTTTTTAGTTTTTAGAGTTACTTTGGTTGTTTGACTTTGTTACGGGTACACACGCTCCGGTTTAAGAAAGTCATGAATGTTACTACGTATGTAACTCACTATTTTTCTTATGGCGGTGTTAGGTTAATGATCTATCAGTCATTTTTTTGGTTTTTTTGGAGTGACTTTGGTTGTTTGACTTTGTCAACTAGCTTAGCTATTGTAGGTATTTGGTAAACAACTTTTTGATTTGGCTATTTGATACGACAAAGTCAAAAACGAAAAAAACCACTATGAGTAGTTTTTTACCCTCCCATAAAGGTCCTATTATACCCTCTCATTCTGATCCTCTCGTTAATTATATTATATTGTTCAAAATGAAATTAAATGAAAACTTGAAAAGTAATTACAACAACATAATAACACCGACAGTAAATATTAACATGAATATGATTAATATTTTATAATATTATTTTAAAAGTTACTAAAAATATAAAATATTAATACTAAAAACACATGAATTTGTATATATATATATAATTGTTAAAAATGGTACTTCGTACTATTTTAGAGATTTTATGCAATTGTGTGTGCATGTATGTATATTAGTAATAAAAAAATTATAATAGTGATTATATAAAGTAATGGTCAATGTACTGATCAAAAAATAAAAAATTAAGTTAAATTCATATATATATATATATATATATATATATATATATATTGTGTCTGTTTTCTTAAAAACCATTTCCTGTCTTATATATTTTGTGTCTGTTTTCTTAATAATCATTTTGTGTCTTAACTGCTAATTGTGAACAACCAACTTACTAATCACTTCATTTTGTTTGAGTAGATAGAAATCATTAAATCTATCTATCTATAATAATATATAGGAACAAGGTGAGGAATCTTTTTGGTTGCAAAGTCCCGCCCAAAAGTGGAGCTATTTATGAAGATTATGTAAACATTTATGTATTACTAAATGCAATTTGTTCTGAATCTTTATTGTTTTTTATGATTACTGAAACTTTATTGTTAATAAGAGTATTCTAATTTCTAATGCTACACGTATGTTAGTACAAGTCAAATTAAAAGTTACCATACAATCGTATTAATGGAAAGAGAAAAAATGTAATAATATTGTAATAATTGTTATTAATGGAAATGGTGAGAGTGTAATTATAATATGGTGATATACTCTATTAAGAGCCTGTTTGGTAGCACGGAAATCGGCTGATTTGACTGATTTTGCTGAAATTTATGAAGTTCTGGCTGAAGTGGCTGCATTGGCGAATTCTGCTGATTAAAAAAAGAACATTTTTAAAATATATTTTATTAATAAATAAAGAAAAAATTATATGTAAAATAGTTAAAATGGTCATCTACAGTAACTTCAACCAATACAACCAGAAAAGTAACTTCAACCTTACTTTTTCTGCCTATTACACAATTCAGCGCGCGAAAGCAAAAGTTACGTGTTTGGTGAAAAAGTTGACTGATAAGCCTGATGAGCTGAAAAACAGTGCTGTCAAACGGCCTCTACAATTGGTAACTACACATGATCGTGTAGGGATGTTTTTACTTGGACTGTTTTCAGTCTCATACCTGACTAGACTTCGATAGTTATAAAACACAAAGTAATTATTATAGTAATTATAATAGTAATGTATAATTGGCGGGATTTTAATTAATTAAGGCATATTAGAAGACATGTGTTGCTTTAATTTGAGTGTTTCCAGTTTCATATTAAACCAAACAAGATTTAAACAAATTAGACTGGATCAAGTCAGACTTGAATAGAACATGCTTGATTGGTCAGACTAGACAAGTAAAATATATGTACGCCAAATGTTTACTGGTTCAGATCAAATTAGATCATTATACCAGATTTAAACACATTAGACCAGAGCACTAAAAAATATTAGTCTAATTAAAAACACCAATATTATTCTAATTATGGCATGCAATTCCTAAGGAAATAACAATGAAATCTTATTGAAATGTATCTATCTATAATATGGAGTAATATATAATAACAAGGCGTGTCACATTGCTATTTCCGCCCAATCACGCATTTAATGATTCATACGATTAATAATAATAATAATGATAGTAATATAATAATGGGAGTGTCTTCAATTAAGAGTAACAATAATAGTAATAATAATAATAGTAATAATAATAATAATAATAATAATAATAATAATAATAATAATAATAATAATAATAATAATAATTGTGATACATCAATGGTCATGAGATTTTAATTAAGGCATATTAGAACATTTATAATATTTTAATCAGAACGTTTTCAGTTTCAAGATAGACTAGACCAGACTTAAATAAATTAGACCAGATTGGGTTAAACCTAAACATAGAGCCTGTTTGGGCAGTTTGGTGACTCTGTTTTTCAGCTTATCAGGCTTATCAACCAACTTTTCCACCAAACACATAAATTTTAATTCCGCGCGCTGAATTGTGTAATAATAAGAAAAAGTAAGGTTGAAGTTACTTTTCTGACTGTATTGGTTGATGTTACGATGGAGGACCATTTTATATTATTTTTTCATATTTTTATTTGTTTATTTTATTAATAAAATATATTTTAAATATTATTTTTTTCATAAATCAACAGAATCAACCAATTCAGTCACTTCAGGCAGAACTTTATAAATTTTAGCAGAATCAGCTAATACAGCGGATTTGGATCTTACCAAACGGGCTCATAATATGCTTAATTATCAGACTAGACAAGTAAAATATATATAAGTCGGACGTTTATCTGATCGGATCGAATTACACCAGACCGGATTTAAATAGACCACAACAAACTAATTCACTTTTTCTACTCATATCAAGAAAATGTGATACTCCTTACATATTATTATCAACTGTTTGATAATTTGAAAATTTTGATTTTTAAAGCTACACTATCAATAATCTTTTGATTATTGAATGTTTACAAAAAGTTTAGTAAAAGTTTTAATGTTCCGCAATTGTTTAGATCCGTTGTTATTATATTCGTAAACCTAAATATATTTTTGTTAGCATGAAGTTATTCCAAGTTCGCCGAATTAACTTAACCTTCTTCTTTTAAGAACTCATCTCAAACTCTTCAATGGCGTAAATCTAAGTTGCTCGAAGTATTCATCAGATCTCACAGTCATCTAATAACATAGTTAAGTATGAAACTATGTATGTTGCACGGGTAAAATAATGGGAGGGTGCAAGACAAGCCACGCCAGTGGTTCCGTCCCCATACATAGTTTAATACACACACTCTCACTCACCAACTAATCTTCAGATCAGCTCTACCGCTTCCATCTTGCTGCTCCCACCGGATTTCGCCATTTAAGGTATATACTCATTTCCTCCCTCTTTGTCTAATTTTTCATTCATCTCGCTGCGATGCCAATATCAAATTCAGATGTCATGGACTTTGATGAATTAAGGTCTTCTTTATTCAGTTATGTGTTTACTGCTACTTTTATTTTTACCCCTGCTTCATGAATTATGACCTTTATGAAATGTTAGTAATCGATGGTCAACCCCATGCTACAATACATGGATAAGTGGATTGGCTTAGCTGAAAAGCCTGAACGTATTGAAATCCAATTTATGATCCATTTTCTATGCTAACAGGTTAAGGTCTTTGAGGATAAGTTATTTAATCCTTTAATCTCCTTTTTAATTACAGTGAATTTTACCAGGCAGACACTTCATTTGATTGTTAAAATTTGCCTCTACCATAAATGGATCTAAGATGACTTGAAAGCATCAAGACATTGTATATTCATTCATAAGGTATTAAGGTGATTGTTTGTGCCAAAAGATCACAATCTTGGACCCACACAACTACATTTCTGCATGATCATTTCTCATCATGAAGCCTTATTATCATTTATGATTATAAAATACGGGGTACTAAGAATTTAATTAACTAGAGCTTGTAATTTTTCTTAACTAAGCAAAAAACATTATGCAAACAATGTTCAACTTTTCAAGGATGACCAACTAGTTTTTTTTAAAGTCGTGAATTGTATAAATGTAGTCCTTATCTGGACATCCTTTCAACAAAATGGATGTATTATATGTATGTCTGCAGTTGGTTATGTAGTCCTTATAGGCGATAATGGATGTATTATGTTAGTTGGTTAACACATAGCTCTTCTTTATGTCTGCAGTGATTTTTAGAATGTATCTCTGAAGTTGAATCTTTGGTAGGCTTGAGAGTCAAAGATATAGAGGCCGAGAAAATGTTGCATAACCACTTGCTCTTATTGACTCTTTTTCTTAGCTTCATAGAAAATGGAAGTTCCACTGTAACTAGTACATTTATTCGTCAAGAGTGGCCATCTGTGGATATTCCACTTGACAATAAGGAATTTGCAGTCCCTGCAGGCTATAATGCACCACAGCAAGTAAGTTTGCGATTGCTTTCTGTTGAATCACTTCTGCCTTTGCCTGATCCCTGCGCAGTGCATATTTATATGAGTTTTTATTAGTATTAGAATTTGTGGTGGAAAATGGTCATAGTGAGAGATTGATGTGCACTCTGTGCTCTGTATGAATTGAAGTTGTGAAAAAGAACACTTTTAAAGGTTTTATCCTTCAAATTTCGAATGCAGTCAGGAAAATGATGTTACTACCTACTAGTTACCACTACTAACTTACTAGAAATAATATACTTTATTTTTGGAGAAAAAGTATTTCTTAATGCTTTCATATTGCGTTCAATCATGGGTCATCCGCAAACAGTCTCTTTGTACTTTAGTACAAGGGTAAGGCTGTGCACATCCGACCACCCCTTACCCCACCATAGGTGGGGGCCTTTGCAACACTGGGGTAATGTTGTTGTGTTGTGTTGTTTCATTTTAGGTTCAGGTTTAGGCAATCAGCCAAGACACATCCAAGAGTTACAATAAAGTTTAAATACAACTCCAGTTTGCGTTAAATTTTAAGTAAAATCATGACTCACCTGCAAGCTTAGATTAAATTTTAAGCTCAGAACCTTTATATAACTTGTGGAGTAAAATCATGACTCACGTGTACGGATTAGCTTAGAGTTGATCCTTTGGTTCCTTCCTTTATAGATTGTTTATAGATTGTTGTGCTTGATGTTTCTTAAAATAAAAAGAACGCTTGGAACTCGTGCTGGCATAAGACAAGTCTACTGAACTCTCTATATTTCATATTCAAGAGTTACTGTAGTGGTGTATTACACAACTACGTATCATCTACATATTATTTTTGTAAGATTCTAAAAGGCTTAAGGGATTCTGTACATCTTGTGTAGGTTCATATTACACAAGGAGACTATGATGGGAAGGCTGTCATAATCTCTTGGGTCACTTCAGATGAACCAGGGTCTAGCCAAGTACACTATGGCTTATCTGAGGAAAAGCTTGAGTTTACAGCAGAGGGAACATTTACGAATTACACATTTTACACTTACAAGTCTGGCTTTATACATCATTGCCTTGTGGGTGGCCTAGAGGTAATAGAGCATTGAATCTCAATAGTTAACATTGATTGAGAATATTATAATAGAAGCAGATTGACTGTGTTAAATGCTACGGGAGCAAATTTTTGAGTTTACCATGAACTTTTGCATAGCCAGTCACCTGTATTTTGTCAATGCACTTTTATTTTTTAACAAGTAGTTAATTAGACTTTATATTTGCACTTCTGACTGATGATGTATGGATTTGTTTTAGCATGACAGAAAATATTACTATGAAGTTGGAAGTGGTAATTCTTCAAGGAAGTTTTGGTTTGTGACACCTCCGAAAATTGATCCAGATGTATCTTACAAATTTGGCATTATAGGTTAGTTTTCTGAGCAGATATTATCTAGTATGTTACCCTATTTATATCTTATAATTTCTTGAACTCTTTTCTATCAATTTAATTATTTATTTAATAGTCTTACTGTGTGTGATTTATTTATGTGTGTTTATAATGTTACTCTTGGTGTTTAATTTCACCATTGCTTTTCTACATTGTCTTGTGGGTGTTTCGTTTCGAGTTTAATGCGTTGAACTACTCTGTGATGTGCAAATTATGCACTTCCATCTCTGTGAATCTGTGATTCAGAAAATGCATCAAAACCCCTTGACCCTTGTGTTATGAGTATCCGTGTACATGATACGTATCTTTGAAACATGATGGGGAGAGTTCTCAATTGCATATCACATGGTAATTTGAACATTAAACTCCTTGTCATCCACTAATCACTAAACCCCTTCTATTATTTCAGGTGATCTGGGCCAAACATTCAATTCTCTTTCCACTCTCGAGCACTACATGCAGAGTGGAGGGCAAACTGTCTTATTTGTTGGAGATCTCTCTTATGCTGATAGATACCAATATCATGATGTTGGAGTACGTTGGGATACATGGGGTCGTTTTATTGAAAAAAGTGGTGCATATCAACCATGGATATGGTCAACTGGGAATCATGAGATAGAGTACATGCCATATATGGTACTATAATAGAAACAAGTCTATTCAGTTTCATGCACGTTCATACTCTTGTTTAAGATTATTTTTCTGTTAGTGAATTGTAGAATGTGAACTATCTCATTAAAAATGTGCTTATAGAGTCGTTCTTGTTCTCTTTGTTCGATGAAAGCATCATGAGATAAAATGGATGTTTTGTTGCCAAATAAAACCTTTTCTTGTCACCTCTTTTGTTGTCTTGATTTAATTCAATCTTTTGTTGTGAAGACAAACCATGTCTGAATATTTGATAACCATGCTGCCTATATATTGGGTTAAAAAGCTAACCATAACTTAATTGAAATTATCCTTATCTGTGTTGAAGATCAGTTACATTTTGACTACTTTCTATTGCGCATATATGAACAGGGGGAGGTTATTCCATTCAAATCGTATCTCGTTAGATATCCCACACCTTACAAAGCCTCTAAAAGTAGCAATCCAATGTGGTATGCCATCAGAAGGGCATCTGCTCATATAATTGTTCTATCCAGCTACTCCCCATTCGGTATTTTACTTTTCCTATTCCTTTGGCTCATTTTCTTTCGGAAAATACTATAAGACATTAATGTGCCATTGTCTAATTGACTATAGGTTCAATATATTGATATAGTTTATTTTGGATTTTGCAATAGTCACTGAGATGTAGCAAAATATACTTCAGGTTTCTAGGTTAATCTTCTTCATCATTACCCTAGTGCCGCAAAGGCTCCCACCTACGGTGGGGTAAGGGGGGAGGTCGGATGTACGCAGTCTTACCCTTGTACTAAAGCGTAGAGAGACTGTTTCCGGATGACCCCATAGAGGTTTCTAGGTTAATCTGAAATGAAAATTTGTTTTACTTATTACCATCATTTTTTTTTGAAAGCTCTTTCAGAAATTTAGGGTCAAAGAGAAAGAATAAAAAATAGGGACCTTTATTGGATTTTTTTTATTGGATGTCTGTATTCCATAGTTACTAAATATGTTATGCTATGTCCTTACCACTTTCAGTCAAATATACACCTCAATATAAGTGGCTTAATGAAGAATTTACAAGGGTGGACAGGGAGAAGACTCCTTGGTTAATTGTCCTCATGCATGTCCCTATTTACAATAGCAATGAAGCGCACTATATGGAGGGTGAAAGTATGAGGGTTGTGTTTGAGGAGTGGTTTGTCAAATACAAGGTTGATGTGGTATTTGCTGGCCATGTCCATGCTTATGAGAGATCCGTAAGTATCACCTCTTTAGAATCATTTTGGATTGATTTAGCCCAATGCAACGGACAAGTTCTGCCTTGAATTAGGCACGGAAACAGTGCCTAAGTGAAGAAAACACAGGCTTTGAATAACCTCTTCATATATAGGGATTAATTCGGGTTTAGGCAGATATCTTTTCAAAACTGTTAATACTAATGTTGATAGCATCTCATTGTAGACTGAAAAGATGTAGTTTACCTGATAACAAGTATATTAGGAAGGATATCATCCATTAAAGTGTTTGTATTGGAAGCTTAATTCTTTGAAGAACATATTATGAGCTTGATTTTTGTTACTTTATCTAAAGTTGAAGGTCATGTGATTTTAAAGCACATTTGACCTGTGGCCATTAATTTAAGTTTGTAGTCTGTGTTTCAACTCAATCATGTAAAATTCCTTTAACCTGTGTGTAATACGAGTTATCTTCCAAACACCTTTTTTGTTTTACTTTCTGTTGACTTATTACAAAAATTCCACCTTTTTTTGTTTTACTTTCTGTTGACTTATTACAAAAATTCCAAATTAGGTCACAAACAAGTTACAAATGTTAAATTTAGTTAACCTAACTAGTAATTTTTAAAAATAGAAGTATTAATGCATGGTTTATAGAGTTTTTACCTTACAAAAATGTACAGTTGTATATAGTTCATGGTAATAAATAATATAATAGGAACATTAATTCTATGTTAATTAATCATTTTATTTCATCTTTTTGAAAATGTATTTTCAACATATAAACAATAACCCCTCTCCTCCCTTCTTCCACCACCTCCCAAACATACGACTTGGTTACCATATCTTTCTTAATAACTTCAGTTTAGGTCTGTGTAGTTGAATGCTAATGTGTTTTCATATTATTCAGTATCGCATATCAAACATCCACTATAATGTAACAACTGGTGTTGCTCACCCTCTACCTGACAAATCGGCTCCAGTTTACATTACAGTTGGAGATGGAGGAAACCAGGAAGGTCTTGCTGCAAGGTTAATATTATAAAACTAATACTAGTATCTTACAATTTTCTCACATAGGAATAATATTATGAGTAATATTAGCAGATTAGTATTTTGAAAATAATATTATCACATAACCAAGTATAATGCAGATTTATGGATCCCCAACCTGAGTATTCTGCTTTTCGAGAAGCTAGTTATGGCCATTCTACGTTAGAGATCAAGAATAGAACACATGCGCTCTACCATTGGAACCGGAATGATGATGGGAAAAGAGTTGCAACAGATGTTTTCGTTCTACACAACCAATATTGGTAAGTACAATTTGACTTTGATGGGCCTTCCCATATTTTCTCCTGAAATATGCTTCTTTCCTCTTCCATTTCTTCCAAACCAAAGATGTCTGTTTGGTTGAAGTTTTAAAGAGTTCCTAAATCGTTGAAAAACATAATCTGAGATTTTTTTAAGTGTCTTCTTCTTTTGTTTCAAGAACAACAAAATGCTACGATATCTGCTTTTTTAATCATCAACCAATTTATTCAAGGCACAGTCAAATAAGTTACTAAAGACCGGTCAGTGAAAAGAAACTTTTTCTACCCAAAGGGCACTTTGTATTTATGCATATTATTATTCACACTTCTCAAACGAGAAGAAAGTTAATTTATCGCATAACGGCATAACCCATATATAATGACCTTAATCTCAATTATACATTGGAGTTGATGACCTGAACGTCCGTATCAATTATTTGTCTAATTTACAAGCACTATGATGTTGTAGAAATAGATGGATTATGTTATTTTGTCATATTTCAATCAGACTTTCATGAGTGTAAATTCTTTGGCTTGCAGGGGGGGCAACCGAAGAAGACGAAGAAAGTTGAACAAATCTCATCTTCATTCTGCTATCTTTAACAGGCCCTCTAGCAGTCAAATCTGACTTCAGGCATTTAGCTAACCTCTATCTGCCTTAGCTGGACCTAAGGACAGTCACTGCCTGTTCTGGTTTGAAATTAGGGTTCCTGGGACGCCTGTTCTAAGAGTGTCTGTCTGTGGTATCCACTATCCACAATGTATAAAAAAAATTGCTTTTTGCCCACACATTTGTTGTTCCATTGACTCTATGAATTCCAATTTCATGTCACTGGTCCCAACTTCCCCAACTTCATGGTCTGTGATCCTTTGTTTAGAAGTTTAGATACCTCATTTTTTTATCTACAAAAAAAGTTAGGGGTAGAAGATACAAAACAGGTTAAGAAAAGAGTTTTACGTTGACAAAAAGAAAGCCTTATAAAATGCATCTTGTAGTGGATAATTGGATATTAATTTTGTTGAATGATTTTTTGTTTTGTTTAACTGAAGAATTTATCGTGATCTACTCTTGTTCAATCATATTGTCAAATCTAACATTCCCCCTTAATAATTACTATAATTGCTTCGGCAATTTTAAGAAATAAACATTGGTAATAATGGTAGTAAATTAATCATACTAACTTATAACTTATGTTCAACTTTTAACTTTTAAAATTGAGTGACTATGCCACTAGTGTAGTAATCATTAACTATTAATAGTTATATTTGTGTAAATAAGTTTTATTTTAGTATTCTCTCCGTCCCATTGATAGGTCCCACATTCTTTATTTGAATGTAGCATTTAAAGGTTTCATTTTATTTTAGAAAATAATTTACATATCAAGTGTCATAATTTTCTCCAATTTATCTTTCTTTAATTACTTTCACTTTATATGTTTATTTTTTTGTAGAAAACTCTTTCCTCTATTTTTACTCAAATTACTTTATTTAACTAAGGGAAAAGGGTCAAATAGTCCCTCGAACTTACATAAAAAGGTCAAATAAGCCCTTATATAGGAGGTTCTGTCTGGCCATCGCCATTTGGGGCGGTTCCTGGTGAAATTTTTTGATGAAATTTTTTAAGCATCTTATTCACTAAGTCTAGTTACTCATACCAAATTTTAAATAAAATTTCAATCGGGGTGACATTTAAATGAATTCTTGAATATATCAAGGCAAATTAAGAGTTTGGGGAAATTGAATATTGACGGGGTACATTTGATTACACAACTTCAGATCTCTACCGACTCTACGTACGAATTTCACATGCACTGCGGGAGCCTGAGGTGTCGTACAGTAGGGGGTCTGGCTTTTTTGTTGCCTTGTGATTATTGAATGTCCTGATCTTCCCATCTGCATGACTATATTGATATATTAGTACACTGATGGGTCCTTACACTGATGGGTCCTTACTCCTTAGATGCTTAGGGTATGCTTAGAGCCGTAGAGGTGCCTTGCGCATCGGAGGGCAGGGGAGCGGCCAACACGGTCTCGAGATCGGTGAAAAAGTGGAGCCCAAAATTTTCGACCGTTGAATTGTTCAGAGCCAGCTTTTTAACCATTTAGGCCAGGCTTGTGCCTAGGGTCTCCAAAATTTTAGGGGCCTCAATTTTTTTTTGTTTGCCTATTACTATTATAATTAAAAATTAATCTTTGAATAAAATAATTGATGTTGAGCTCACGCGGAAGTGCAAACACAGTACGCAGGTCGAGCAATTCTGTATATTCTATCGATCTTCCGTCAATTACTTGTCTGAATTAATTTGTTACAGCTTTGCTCAATTACTCTTTACCGATGTAGCTTTTATGGCGTTGTAGTTTTTTTTACTTTTTACTCTTATACTCCGTATTTAAGAAACTGGCGGGGGACTCTCAAAATAATTAAGAAGTAAATAAACTGGCAGGGGGGCGAGGGACTAAGGACGGCTAGTTTAATTGTTTAAAAGTTAAATTTTTTTACTATTTACTCCGTATTTTAAAGTTGCCTATACTTTTCTTTTTGGGATGTACTTAAAAGTTCCATACACTTCCATTTTTGGTAAGTTTAATCTTTATAAAATATCCGTATTTTAAAGTTTCTTACACTTTTCTTTTTGGGATGTACTTAAAAGTTCCCTACACTTCCATTTTTGGTAAGTTTATTCTTTATAAAATACTCATCAACTACTCTACTTTATCTACTTTTTATCTTCTCTTTCATACTTTTACTGTTTTACACACTCTCCTACACTTTCTACACTATTCCCTATACTTACTATTCTATCCTAAAATTTTGTTCCAAAAACAAATGTAGGGCGTAGGGAACATATTAATATTGAGGAAGTATGTCTTTAGACTTTCGTTTTAGTCTTTTGTAAAAGTTAAAACTGCTCGTTTGCACTAGTAAGTTATGGACCAGTGAGGACAGAGGTTTAGGATTGGTGCACTAATAGTTTGCACTAGTAAGTTTAGGACTAGTGTTTCTCTTAATTATTAATATGTATTTTTATACTTTTATAAATATTTTAAATATGTAAGTATTGTCATTTGTCATGACGGGTAAGCGAAAAATTGATTCCGGTTCTACAAAGAGAAAGAATAAGTTGAGAAAGGATCTGGTTATTAAATCATTTGTCGGGTCTATGGATCAGTATATAAAGACAATTCCTTCTTCCTCAAACGTACACGTACTTGAGAAAGGACTAGGTATTAATTAAAAAGTACATTATTAGTGTATCTTATGTATGTTAAATTTAAAACTTTATTATTTTGAAATTCACAATATATGTTGTTTTTGCACTTATTTTATCTTTTTTTTTCTTGATTGTATGTCTTTTATACAAATTACATTAATATGATATTATGATATGTTTTTTTAAAGCTTTTGTGAAGCTTTTCCGCCTAGAGCCTCCAAACCGCTGGAGCCGGCCCTGGAATTGTTGATCGGACGACCGGGAAGAAGCAAACCACTCTACCTTACTCTAAAGTAAGGTAGAGGCCCCGGATCCTTGTTTGACACAACCAGCTGAAAAATACTTTTGTGAGTTTTTTTAATAACTGTTAGCTTTTAGTGACTGAAAAAATCTTAAAAAGAAAAGGTGGTAGCTGTTTGGTAAAAAGCAGACTGTTTGATGTAGTTCAGTTTGGTATACAAGCTGTTAGGACTAATTAATACTAAAAATCATGGGTTTTTTTCAGATGCTACTCTCTGTAGCATCTCAAAAAAATCTTTTAATTTTTGAAAAGCTTTTAAAAAATGTCATGCCAAACATATAACTAAAAGCTTTTATAGACTTTATAGTCATTACAAAAGCTGGAAGACAGAGACTTATGCCTGCCAAACATCGCCTTAGAGGCCGTTTGGCAACACTGTTTTTCGGCTTATCAGGCACCTTTTTCACCAAACACGTAATTTTTGCTTACGCGCGCTGAATTGTGTAATAAGCAGAAAAGGTAAGGTTGCAGTTACTTTTCTGGCTATTTTGGCTGAAGTTATTGTAGTTGATCATTTTAGCTATTTTTACATATATTTTTTTCTTTACGATATTAATGAAATATATTTTAAAAATATTTTTATCTTAAATCAGCAGAATCAACCAATGCAACCAGTTCAGTCAGAACTTCATAAATTTAAGCAGAATCAGCTAAATCAGCCGATTTTCGTGCTACCAAACAGGCTTTTAGATGTTTGCAGGGTAAAATAATAAAAATTTCCTAAACCTTGAAGGGGTGTGAGGTAAACACCCCAAACTTGCACATGTAATTTAAATACCCCAAACTTTAAATAAAAGTTATTTTTACGCCATTGTCATGTATTACTTCTTTAAAAAATGTAAACTTATGGGATAATTGCATAATTTAAAATAAAAAGTTAAAAGTGTTGCAATTATATAGGTTGGGGGTAACATTATTTATTTTCTTATGGAAGTTTAGAATGTTAATTTTGTCTTCATGAATTCTAAAATATTTTAAATTGTGCAATTAACACCATAAAGTTACATTTTTGAAAAAAAATAATACTTGACTATGGTGCTAAAATAACTTTTTATATAAAGTTAGTGGTATTTAAATTGCATATGCAAGTTTCCGTTAACATTAATGGTAGCTACTTTGTTAACATCCCATAATTTTAAACATTTTATAACAATGCAATTATTCTTCAAGTTTAAGTAGGTAATCTATTTTTTTTAAATAAACATATATACACACATACACAAATAGCAATTATAAATAAATAATACGGAGTAAAATAAATACTATAACAGCAAATGTATGGCTTAAATCATACATACGGAGTAGTACGGAATATACAATAGAGAATCAAATAACTCAATTATATGCATATGAGCAAATAAAATAAAATAAGAAAACGATGATGGTTGTTCCTATTATTAATTATATTAAGAGAAAATTAATGACTAAAACTCATCCAAAAAAAATGAAAAAACAAAAAAAAGGCCCGAACGGGGCCCGGGCCCGCCCGGGTCGATTCCAAAGAAGGGGGTGAACCAGGACCGCCCCACCCTAACCCCCGGGACCGGGCCTAGGCCTGGAACCAAAACCGATTCCCGGGTCGGGCGGTCCGAACCGGGTCCAAGACTACTTCCCGAGCCTGTGACCAGACAAACTTCCTAAACTTGGTTTAATGTCTCTAGCTAATGCATGTACTTTTCTTGCTTTCAATTTTTTTTGGGCAAGGTCTAATCTCCCAATTGTGATTCAGTTTTCTTTGAATAAAAAAGAGTACACAAAGAAAAAAGGGGTTTTGGAATTTTTTTGAAAGCATTGACGAGATTAACAACTTCAATAAAAAATAGGTTTGCCATAGCCCATAGGTGTATAAACATGAGAAAAAGCTTCAATTGCGTTGTGAAAATAAATCAAAACGGTGCAATTTGTTTCATAGTGTCAATCTCAACCGGTTCTATAATATAGTTATAAGTTTCTTTTATGAAACAGAAAAATGGTCCTTAAATCTAAGAAGTACAGAAAAGTAATTTATAATTAATATTCTAGCGAATAGACATTTTTTCAGAAAAACAAAATATTTAACACGCCTACCTTTCAAATATTCGCGTCATTGCAGTTTAAGTTGAGTATTACCCTAAATAAGTCTATTACACCCCTTCACGTTCTACATCACAGTTCCTAACACTGTTAAATCATCTTTAACACATAAATTAAGAATATGACATGCACAATGCCGATGAAAAAATCTACTCATCAAAGTAGAAGGACTACACAAGTCACGCAATCTCGGTATAACAACAATATTATTACTAGCATTGTCAAAATCAATAGCAAACAATATATATCAATCAAATTATATTCAGTTAAAATACGCTCAATGATAATATAATATTATCACCGGTGTGTTGGTCATTAAATTCTCGGAAAAAACGATAACATGTTTATGCATTTCCCAATTATCATCAATAATTGTGCAGTCACACTCAAATAATATAAATAATGATACATATCCT